GCCCAAGCACCCAACCGCCAGGCCACCAACCCTCCAAGATCCCCCCCCCCCCCCCACAGTTCCCCGAGAGCTTCCCCTCAACCATCTGAGAAATACCTCTCCCTCAATTCCCCACCCCCAAATCCCACCTGCAAGCCACCGTCTCCCAATGCACCAACAACCAACAAGAGAAATAAAGGAAAGAAACAGAAAACAACAATGACAACAAATTTAAACAGCAAGGCCAACTGTATACGTTTGAGTGCATGTGTGGCACTAGTTACGTGTGTGCACATGTGTGCGTTTGAATGCGAGCGTGTGTATATGCATGTGTACACGCATACAAGCACCTCAGTCAAACAGGCATTGGATATAACAGCGTTGCCCCTCAGTGTCATTGAAACTCACTTTTTTGTTTTGTTTATTTTGTACTGAAATGAATTGTGGAGATCTCATTTATATATTTTGTGTTATGAATACCAAGTACGTCTACTTCACCGTCGGCCCATTTTATAGGTAAACTGCAGGGTAATGTAAAAGTTGTATTTAAAAAAAAAGATCCAATACATAATATGGTACACTTATCATAATTAGGTTTTAGTCCAGAAAAGTTATCTTCAATGAGACATGGCAGGGATCTAGCTTGCGGACTTAATATAAAACTTGAGTCATCGGCATACATGGACCCCTTTGTTTTTAAGCCTTGGATTTCTAATGTTATTTGATCTGATTTCAATAGCTAACATTTTGATGGCCATAAAGGAATAGATATGGTGACAGCGTACACCCTTGTTTAACGCCTCTTGACAATTCAAAACTCTGAGAAGTAGCTGCTATTTACTATTTTACACCTGTGGCTGCTGTACATTACTTTTACTCATTGAATAAGAGACTCACCGAAATAGAAAGAATTCTGGCATTTACAGTGGGGAGAACAAGTATTTGATACACTGCCGATTTTGCGGGTTTTCCTACTTACAAAGCATGTAGAGGTCTGTAATTTCTATCATAGGTACACTTCAACTGTGCGATACGGAATCTAAAACAAAAATCCAGAAAATCACATTGTATGATTTTTAAGTAATTAATTTGCATTTTATTGCATGACACAAGTATTTGCTACATCAGAAAAGCAGAACTTAATATTTGGTACAGAAACCTTTGTTTGCAATTACAGAGATCATACGTTTCCTGTAGGTCTTGACCAGGTTTGCACACACTGCAGCAGGGATTTTGGCCCACTCCTCCATACAGACCTTCTCCAGATCCTTCAGGTTTTTGGGCTGTCGCTGGGCAATACGGACTTTCAGCTCCCTCCAAAGATTTTCTATTGGGTTCAGGTCTGGAGACTGGCTAGGCCACTCCAGGACCTTGAGATGCTTCTTACCGAGCCACTCCTTAGTTGCCCTGGCTGTGTGTTTCGGGTCGTTGTCATGCTGGAAGACTCAGCCATGACCCATCTTCAATGCTCTTACTGAGGGAAGGAGGTTGTTGGCCAAGATCTCGCAATACATGGCCCCATCCATCCTCCCCTCAATATGGTGCAGTCGTCCTGTCCCCTTTGCAGAAAAGCATCCCCAAAGAATGATGTTTCCACCTCCATGCTTCACGGTTGGGATGGTGTTCTTGGGGTTGTACTCATCCTTCTTCTTCCTCCAAACACGGCGAGTGGAGTTTAGACCAAAAAGCTATTTTTTTGTCTCATCAGACCACATGACCTTCTCCCATTCCTCCTCTGGATCATCCAGATGGTCATTGGCAAACTTCAGATGGGCCTGGACATGCGCTGGCTTGAGCAGGGGGAACTTGCGTGCGCTGCAGGATTTTAATCCATGACGGCGTAGTGTGTTACTAATGGTTTTCTTTGAGACTGTGGTCCCAGCTCTCTTCAGGTCATTGACCAGGTCCTGCCGTGTAGTTCTGGGCTGATCCCTCACCTTCCTCATGATCATTGATGTCCCACGAGGTGAGATCTTGCATGGAGCCCCAGACCAGGTGATTGACCGTCATCTTGAACTTCTCCCATTTTCTAATAATTGCACCAACAATTGTTGCCTTCTCACCAAGCTGCTTGCCTATTGTCCTGTAGCCCATCTCAGCCTTGTGCAAGTCTACAATTTTATCCCTGATGTCCTTACACAGCTCTCTGGTCTTGGCCATTGTGGAGAGGTTGGAGTCTGTTTGATTGAGTGTGTGGACAGGTGTCTTTTATACAGGTAATGAGTTCAAACAGGTGCAGTTAATACAGGTAATGAGTGGAGAACAGGAGGGCTTCTTAAAGAAAAACTAACAGGTCTGTGAGAGCCGGAATTCTTACTGGTTGGTAGGTGATCAAATACTTATGTCATGCAATAAAATGCAAATGAATTACTTAAAAATCATACAATGTGATTTTCTAGATTCCGTCTCTCACAGTTGAAGTGTACCTATGATAAAAATTACAGACCTCTACATGCTTTGTAAGTAGGAAAACCTGCAAAATCGGCAGTGTATCAAATACTTGTTCTCCCCACTGTATCTGCAATATTAAGCTGAAAAAAAGAAGGGCACCGATTGGCAGATGTGTAAATATATAAAAAGCAGACGCTGAATATCCCTTTGAGCATGGTGAAGTTATTAATTAGGCTTTGGATGGTGTATCAATACACCCAGAGACAGATCCTAAGGTAGGCAGGGCCTCAGGTACTTGACCTGTCACCACATATGCTGTGTATACGCACACCTTAATACAGTAGCTACAGTTAAAATACACTCAATAGACTTGAGACACACATCAGAGTATGGGGGCTGACTGTGTTAATCTGCAGGATGATGGAGCCTCAGTGTTTTGGTCTTTCTATAAGTCCACACATGACACGTGGAGCCCTGTCAGCTTTGAGGAATGGCTTTGTCCTGGTATTGATCACCTGGTAATGTTTACTAAATAATCCATGTGTATCTAGAGACCCAGAGATGTATACCTTGTGGGCAGTAAAATTGAGTAATCCTGCATAGAGGGCCACTGGTTGTCAGTGCACTCAGTGTGGCCACATGTACATATTACCTCAATTACCTCGACTAACCGGTGCCCCCGCACATTGACTCTGTACCGGTACCCCCTGTATATAACCTCCCTACTGATATTTTATTTTACTGCTGCACTTTAATTATTTTTATTTTTTATTTTTTATTTAACACTTTTTTTTCTTAAAACTGCATTGTTGGTTAAGGGCTTGTAAGTAAGCATTTCACTGTAAGGTCTACACCTGTTGTATTCGGCGCATGTGGCAAATAACATTTGATTTGATTTGCACTGACAACCAGAGCTGGACCAGAGTAACAATGGAGTGCAAGAGTAGGTACTCAAAGGGTTAACACATTCAATTTGGGCATTTCAAGCCTGAGAAGGAAGTTGAGGTCTGTATCTTTTTTAAAACACTGAGGTTTGATCTAACTCACTCAAACTCTATTCCAGTTGCAACGTGTGATGTTCCGTCCCTTGAGAATTATGTCACAGGTGTGCCTTGGAAAGTTGCAGCATTCATGTGCTAGTCGGAAATAGGAAACTCTGAAATGTCTGATTTGCTAACTGGTTGAACGCGGCACATGTATAACTACAACCAGTTAGCAAGTCTGAAATTTCAGAGTTCTGGCTAGCACATGAACTTGGCAAGTGGCCCATCAGATCGGGGACAAAATGTCCCTGTCCTGTCCCGTGGGGATGATCATCTGCAGCTCCAGTCTGCAGTGGTCTTCATCCCCAGACAGTGTAAGGTGCAGAGGGTAAGAGAACCAGAGACTCAACTGCTACATGGGAATCAAGCTACCGAATTCTTAGCATCTCTACTCTAAAATGAAATGAGGATGCATCCCTTTTAATGAAATATTAATGAATTCTGTGTGTGCCAGTGCCAAAGTGTCCCACCCCTCCACCTGGCCTGAACTGCAAACTATGGGAAACAGCAGGAACTAGTCAGTGTGTGTAAACTTCCATGCCAATGAGTATTTCAACTAGTAATTTCACATTGCTTGACTTTTTCCAGGGTAATATAACTGAGTCCTCCTAAGTATATACAACCCACTGGAAATAAATAAGAGATTTTAAAGGCCACCCCTGCATTTATGTGCCACACTCCATACAGGGAGAACAAGTCAAGTGGGCATGTGCCAAGTTGGAGCTCTGCAGTTTCTAGGGCGGAGCTTCAAGCTGGTCAAGGACAGTGATTGTGATTGGTCGGATTGGGGGTTGATTTCCTGCCAGGAGTGCTTTGACAACTCCGTCCAGCTCTGTGTCAAACTAACAGACAATGCTGCTGTTGTGACAATGTTAGGTGGAGGCTCAGTGATGCCAGGGGGAGCATTTCAATGTGGTCAGCATTGAGGCCTGTCCTGCACTTTAAAAAAGTATTCTTAACCCATCTTTGTAGTGTTTTGTACATCGAAGAGAGGTCGTTTCTTATATTCTAATAACGTGTTCATAAAGGTAGAGCCATTTTCTACTCTACATGGTAATGGATAGACCTACATGTAACTGCTAAAATAAACGAAACACTTGAGTAAATGAGGGATACAAAGTATATTGAAAGTAGGTGCTTCCACACAGGTGTGGTTCCTGAGTTAATTAAGCAATTAAAACATCCCATCATGCTTAGGGTCATTTATACAAATGCCCAGTTGCCTATTATTTTCACTACCATGGCTAGAAGATGATACCTCAGTGACTTTGAAAGAGGGCTCTCAAAGGAGCATAAGGGGTTTAATGTGTGTGTGTGTGTGTCTGTTTGTGTCTCTCCGTCACCAGATCTCAACCCAATTGAACACTTATGGGAGATTCTGGAGCGGTGCCTGAGACAGCGCTGTCCACCACCATCAACAAAACACCAAATGGAATTTCTCATGGAAGAATGGTGTCGCTCCAATATAGTTCCAGACACTTCTAGAACCTATGCCAGGGCGCATTGAAGCTGTTCTGGTGGCTCGTGGTGGGTGGCCCAACACCCTATTAAGACACTTTATGTTGGTGTTTACTTTATTTTGGCAGATATCTGTAGTTGCAAGTTGTTGTAAATAAAATAATATTGACAAAATATAATTGATTTCATAACAACACATAAGCAAATAGTCCAAAAACGACATAAAAAAGACACAAATACAAATACAAAATAACCTGAAAAGAAGTTAACTACAAGCTACATTCTTTAACAAATGAAGTTGAACAAAGCTGCAATTGAAATGGGACAAAAATCAGCTCCTTCTGAACATCAGTCTTCCCAGTTAAATTGTGCTCTATGATATAATGGAGAGGGAGAGGGTGCTTTAATATAGGAATAGGAAAGATACAGTAGGACCTGATTATGTGGACTCTTCACACGGGCCTTCGTTGAGAATCTCAAACTCCATCTTTCTACACTTGATGCTAGCCATGGAACACAGAGTCATACTCCTCTTGCTCTTGGTCTTCAGCATCTTCACACAGAACATGTGTTCTCCCTCCTTAGGACAGTCGTGGGGAATTTTACACAGACATAGTTTGGACTCTGAGTGAACAAAGACAAAAGGGAAAGAGCACAGTTATATGAAATGATTTTGCTATGTTGAAACCCTATAAACACATTTATCCTTTAAACATAATTCATTGTATTGCATGTAAACTTGTTAACTTTTTGCAGATTAGGTTATTTCAGCTGAAGTGGTCAAGTGCTATCTAAATCTGAGAGGGAATCTGTGGCCAGTCAGTCATACCGGTGCAGCGCTCCCACTCGTAGCAGGTGTCAGAGTCGCAGGGCTCCTGGACTGAGCTCTTGCCAGCCATGTTGACCCTGAACTTGGCCCAGTCCAGGCTGACCACATCCTCGTTACATGGGCCCACATTCATGAAGAAGAGCTGGTCACCATGGCAACGGCCCGAGTGGAAACCACAGTAAGACATCATCACAGCCCTGTCAACTTCAGCATTGAAGATGCAGAACTCAGTTTTGTATGGGCTGCAATACACACACACAAAGATATGGAAACCATTAGTGAATCCAAGGAGAGGACAAATCTAGATGAACAGACTGATTCGGGAACCAAATGATTACGGTGGCCTTCAGATGCACGTGACTAGCTAACATTAAAAGGCAATTAAAAGTCAATTCATATTTAATTATTCATGACTTAATGAAGATTGATAGGTAAAAGTGCTCACAGGCATGTCTCACGTGCCACGCAGATACATTTGGATCCATCGTGTCTCTCTCCTCTCCCACATTGATTGTCAGGAACAAATGGCTTATCTGGACAGACACATTGACAGGACAAACATCCAATTACGTAATTGAATCCTATTGTCAATCATGTGATCTCCACTTGATTGTCGATAAACTCTATGAGGACTTAAAAAGGATGCCAAGTTTCACCAACATCCCTCTAATGTTTCTTCAAAGACCCTTTGAGACAGTCTCTACCTATTTTGCAGTGCAGGTCTTTAGGAAGTGGAGGCTCCCAGGTTAGACTCTTGGCACAGGTGTAAAAGCCCCGTTCTGACGGTGCCATGCCTCTCTCAGTGCAGTCGAATCCCACGGAGTGGCCCACCCTGTACTCCTCCTTGGAGGGGTACAGAGTCATACCCTCAGGCACGGCAGGCGGGGAGCACACCTTCCCTAAGATGCAGGACAAATACTCAACAAGACTGGTTTGACATGAAGAAAAAAAAAAGATGCTATTGAATTGGCAAAACATGGATTCCAAAGTCCAGAGGTTTTGTATGGAGAGAGTGTTATGCCTTCCACCCGCATTCTATGCATGGATTGTTCCTAAGAGGACAGACTTACTGATGCACATCCCTGTGGGTGGGGTCCAGGTCCCGTCAGGGCGACAGTTGATTAACTGGTAACCTTCCATTTCAAACCCTGTGAAGCACAGGAACTCTTCCATGTCGCCAAACTCATAGTAACGCTTATTTTTCTGACATAGAGAACACACAGAGAGAAAGAGAGAGAGAGAGAGAGAGAGAGAGAGAGAGAGAGAGAGAGAGAGAGAGAAAACCTTCCATCATAAAATCTGCAGAGAGATGAACGTAGAGAAGAGGCCCCTCAGCCAGCTGGTTCTGGGGCTCTGTTCAAAAACCCAAACAGACCCCACAGAGCCCCCGGATAATTGGACCCAACCAAATCATGAGGGAAAGAATTAACTTCAAAAACTGAACACATTGGAATGCCATCTGTCCCTAAACAGAGAGTACACAGTGGCAGAATATCTGATCACAGTGACTGACACAAAATTAAAAAAGCTATTTTACTCCAATTAGGGAAGGGGTTGGAAAGTAATAAAGGAAAATATATATTTTTTTAAAGGATATGTATATGTGTATGTATATGTACGTGTATGTGTATATGTATATATATATGGGGAGAACAAGTATTTGATACACTGCCGATTTTGCAGGTTTTCCTACTTACAAAGCATGTAGAGGTCTGTAATTTTTATCATAGGTACACTTCAACTGTGGGAGACGGAATCTAGAAAATCACATTGTATGATTTTTAAGTAATTAATTGGCATTTTATTGCATGACATAAGTATTTGATCACCTACCAACCAGTAAGTTTTCCGGCTCTCACAGACCTGTTAGTTTTTCTTTAAGAAGCCCTCCTGTTCTCCACTCATTACCTGTATTAACTGCACCTGTTTGAACTCGTTACCTGTATAAAAGACACCTGTCCACACACTCAATCAAACAGACTCCAACCTCTCCACAATGGCCAAGACCAGAGAGCTGTGTAAGGACATCAGGGATAAAATTGTAGACCTGCACAATGCTGGGATGGGCTACAGGACAATAGGCAAGCAGCTTGGTGAGAAGGCAACAACTGTTGGCGCAATTATTAGAAAATGGAAGAAGTTCAAGATGACGGTCAATCACCCTCGGTCTGGGGCTCCATGCAAGATCTCACCTCGTGGGGCATCAATGATCATGAGGAAGGTGAGGGATCAGCCCAGAACTAACGGCAGGACCTGGTCAATGACCTGAAGAGAGCTGGGACCACAGTCTCAAAGAAAACCATTAGTAACACACTACGCCGTCATGGATTAAAATCCTGCAGCGCACGCAAGGTCCCCCTCCTCAAGCCAGCGCATGTCCAGGCCCGTCTGAAGTTTGCCAATGACCATCTGGATGATCCAGAGGAGGAATGGGAGAAGGTCATGTGGTCTGATGAGACAAAAATAGAGCTTTTTGGTCTAAACTCCACTCGCCGTGTTTGGAGGAAGAAGAAGGATGAGTACAACCCCAAGAACACCATCCCAACCGTGAAGCATGGAGGTGAAACCATCATTCTTTGGGGATGCTTTTCTGCAAAGGGGACAGGACGATTGCACCGTATTGAGGGGAGGATGGATGGGGCTATGTATCGCGAGATCTTGGCCAACAACCTCCTTCCCTCAGTAAGAGCATTGAAGATGGGTCGTGGCTGGGTCTTCCAGCATGACAACGACCCAAAACACACAGCCAGGGCAACTAAGGAGTGGCTCCGTAAGAAGCATCTCAAGGTCCTGGAGTGGCCTAGCCAGTCTCCAGACCTGAACCCAATAGAAAATATTTGGAGGGAGCTGAAAGTCCGTATTGCCCAGCGACAGCCCCTGAAACCTGAAGGATCTGGAGAAGGTCTGTATGGAGGATTGGGCCAAAATCCCTGCTGCAGTGTGTGCAAACCTGGTCAAGACCTACAGGAAACTTATGATCTCTGTAATTGCAAACAAAGGTTTCTGTACCAAATATTAAGTTCTGCTTTTCTGATGTATCAAATACTTATGTCATGCAATAACATGCAAATTAATTACTTAAAAATCATACAATGTGATTTTCTAGATTTTTGTTTTAGTTGAAGTGTACCTCACAGTTGAAGTGTACCTATAATACAAATTACAGACCTCTACATGCGTTGTAAGTAGGAAAACCTGCAAAATCGGCAGTGTATCAAATACTTGTTCTCCCCACTGTATATATTTGCGAGGGAAAAAAACATATGGGGGATTGGAAGTGATGCAGACAATTACATTGATGGAAGTTACAATCTATCTGCAATATTAAGTTGATCTACCCCCTAAAAAAAAAACTAAAAAAAAGAAAACAAAACGATTTGCACATTGTTACAACACTGTAGTTAATAATATAACATGTCAAACGTTTCTTTGAAAACGTTTGTGTGTGTAATGTTTACTGTTAATTTATGATTGTTTATTTCACTTTCTTTGGCAATGTAATTGTTTACATTGCCAATAAAGCCCCTGAGAGAGAGAGAGAGAGAGAGAGAGAGAGAGAGAGAGAGAGAGAGAGAGAGAGAGAGAGAGAGAGAGAGAGAGAGAGAGAGAGAGAGACTGAATGAATGAATGAATGAAGAAGAAGATGGTAATAAGAGTATAAACAGGTAAAGGTCACTAAGACTGTGACATCACTGAGAGCTGGCCCAGAGCCTTTGGAAATATCACTCTTTCAGAGATCTTTAGTAAGCTCTGTCTCTGTTAGCTCTGTTAGCAGTTAGCGTTGTTAGCTTGGGTCTACCCTGAGGTGACTGTTGGCAGGACTCTTGGGTCTTGGACAGCCCTCTACGCCGGGAGGCAAGCCCTCCGCCCGCCCCTCTGTGGCAAAGTCATCATCATTAACACATACATTTTGCCTGCGGAGAAAAGACACACAAACAGAAAATCAGAAATACACTCAGGCATATAAATTAACAGTACGTTTTTAGGTAGAAGACCAACTCTCTTCCTGAACGATTCTATTTTTTGGTGTGGTATGTACAGGTAACTGACAAAATAAAGGAAGCACCAACATAAAGTGTATTAATGAACTCTGGAACCACACCTGTTTTCAATATACACTGAGACACCAAACATTAGGAACACCTTCCTAATATTGAGTTGCACCCCGCCTTTTTGCACTCAGAACAGCCTCAATTCATTGGGGCATGGACTCTAGAAAGTGTTGAAAGCGTTCCACAGGGATGCTGGCCCATGTTGACTCCAATGCTTCCCACAGTTGTCAAGTTGGCTGGATGTCCTTTGGGTGGTGGACCATTGTTGATCCACACCGGAAACTGTTGAGCGTGAAAAACCCAGCAGCGTTGCAGTTCTTGACACAAACCGGTGCACCTGGCACCTACTACCATACCCCGTTCAAAGGCACTTAAATATTTTGTTTTGTCCATTCACCCTCAGAATGGCACACATACACAATCCATGTCTCAATTGTCTCAAGGCTTAAACATGTCAGTCTCTCTTACTCTTGGAAGATGGAGATGAAGCATCCCTCCTCCTGTCTGACCGGTCCCTGGCAGAGTTTGCCCCCCCTCAGAGGAGCAGGGTTGTTGCACTCTCTGGTACGATGTCTCTTCATGGATGCATCACAGGCACTCCATGCCCCCCAGCAGCTCCAGTAACCATCTACTGCCTCTGAGGAAACCACACAACAAGCCACACTCAGACCTGCCTGGTGTTTACAGACCAGAAGCCAAACCACATTCAGCACTGTTTGGTGTGTACTACTCACCAGGAGTCAAACCACATTCAGCAGTGTCTGGTGTCAGTCAAACATACTGAGCACTGACAAATGACACAACAGGGACTATACATAATCCTCATCCTGTATAAAAAACAGATATACCAACAGTATATCAGTGAGTGAGTGGGTGCTGCTGTGTACCTGAGGTGTAGTCTTTCGCCCGTTGCTCACAGTTGGGCCCGTATGTGCCCGTCTGGCAGATGCACTGGCAGTCTGTGCCAGAGAGGACGGCACGGGCATTGTTAGGGCAGGGGGCACACTTGCAGGAGTCAAAGTCCTCCAGGTACTCCACCAGAGCTCTGGTCAGGTGCCTTCTCTTAGTGGCAGCACATGGGATCCCCTTGACCAGATTGATGATGGGCAACAGCTGGAGACAGATAGGAAGGAGACCAATTTCACACAGGAAGTGACATGTTTTTTGTCTTAGGAAAGTGCTGTCATAAACAGAAAATATCTAAAAAAACATGGTATGGATTCACTATATCACAACTAATCATACACAAACAACCAATTAATTAACTGGATTAATTGTTTCCATCCTATTTCATTATATTCCATGGAGTGAGTTCTGACCTCATATTCCACCACAGCAGGGTTGTCTATGAGGGAATGGGCCCAGTTCTTATAAGTGGTGCTGTCACCAAGTGGTTTCTTCTCCCAGGCCAGGGCTGCAGCCTCTCCGGTCCTGCCTCCACGCACCACGGAGAAAGACTTTTCTGACGACTGCACGAAAGAGCCTGACCAACACAGATGTAACAGTAAATGGTGAATAGCCAGTTCTCAACAAAACTATTGAGAGAGATACTTAATGAAACCGAACAAGTGAAAAGTCAAGATGACTTCAATTTGTATATACCGGTAATTAGAAAAACCAACCTTCATGTTTTTCAGTCATTGTATTGTCAGAGCATCTTTTAACACTTGAACTTGATGCGTAAATTATTATAACCCTGCTTGACTCAGACGTTAGGCATCCTTTGGTATACTCTTCTGTTAAACCTGTGACAATGAAACACAAACAAATAGACCATTTAGGAAATTAGAGAGAACAATGTACAGTAATAGCAGTGGGTACTGTGCCTCCTCTTGACCACTAGGTTGTGCTCTCGTACCATTGTTCTTGAGCTCCAGTCTGCTGTATTGGTAAAGCAGATTATAGTGCCCCCCTAAGGTCCCGGAGGCGAAGTAGTGGGTCCCAAAGTGCTTGAAGATCTCCCTGTAGAGGGCGTAGTTGTACTCCAGAGGCAGGCTGGTCAGAAACTGTAAGAAGGGCTCTGCCAGGTACAGATCTGAATCCTTCATCCTGAATCTGGATACAGGTAACACCTGGTGCACTCGGAAGAACTGGGAGTCCTGCAGGATATTTTCACTTAGATTAGAACCAGCGACCTTTTGGTTACTGGCATTACGTTCTTAACCACTAAGCTACCTGCATGCCTGTAAGTGACTGTGAATATGTGAGAGTGCATAGAGATGCAGCTTGCCGTCTTCTTTGAAGCTGAAACAGCCTGCTTGAAGGAGCGTGTGTTGGATTGGTTGGTTTCTGGAACCAAAGAAGAAGAAGGGGACCCAAGATGAAATCAGAGTCTCTGTAGGAGGTAGAACTGCTGATTGGGACTGGTGGGGAGGCCAGGTTGACGGTCTCACTGTAGACTGGCTGTGGTTCCTGTTTAAAGTCATCTGGGATCTCGACCTGTAGAAGCAGAACCACAGCTAGATCTGATCCCAGGCCAGTCAAACATGGGGAAATAGAATAAGATGAGATCTCTATGCAGTAGTACTGTACCTTGATCTCAACGCTTTCTACATTGGCTGGGACGCGGTAGTACAGCCTGTAGTTGCTGCCTCTGCTCTTGTTCAGATTGCAGGTGTCCCCCATGAACATGTTATCCAGTACCGCCCCCCTCATTTCCTCTGCCATGGCATCAAACCTGAAACAGGAAAGTAACACAAGCCAGCAGCATTAACCCTAGAGTTACGTTACTTTTCTTAAAATCACAGGATACGTTGAGTGTTTGCAGCGGTATCAAGAAATTACATGAAGCAGTCCTGTTCTGTTTTTATGCCACTGACTACTGCTAAACATCTGTGACATTGACCATTGCTCCAGGCAATGTCTTACGCTGGCCTTTGACCTACCCGTTTCCTATGAGGTCAGCTCCAGGGAACACTCTCTTCTCAGAAGGACACACTGTTTTGAATTCATCACAGTTCTTCTCGTCCGAGTTGTCCCCACAGTCATTCTGTTTATTGCATGTTAGTTTGGAGCTGATACAGCGACCTGCGACAAGGGGAAATGTACATGAGCAGAGTTTTGTTTAAATGTGCACATGCAATATTTTGTCTATACTGTATATGGAGGTGAATATGTGACTGTTTACCATTGTCACACTGAAACTCTTTGCAGTTGAGTGTTTTCATCTTGCACTCGGTTGATGGGTAACACACTCTTTCTTGTGTCAGAACAGCATCGCACTCCACGCCTCCAAACTGGGAAGGCCTTAGCAGTGACCGAGTCCTTAACTACAACATCAGAAAACTAGTCAGAGACAGAGACAGACGGGGGGAAGTGTGTGCGTAGATTTCTGTCTGTGTGTCTCTGTGTGTGTATATTCTTTCACTTGCCATTTTTTTAGCACAAGGTGAGCACATGGACCAGTTGGACCAATCAGTGAGCTGACAGTGGATGGAGCAGGCCTGGACGTTACATGCCCGACTCTCATGTTTCTGACACAGCTGCTCACAACTATTCTTCCAGTAATAGTCATCATACCGGATACTCCTGCAGAGGTCAGAATTGTGAAAACCCAGAAAGTAGTATTCTATTGCATTTAAAAAATAGGTTTGTTTAAAACTGAGATAATCATGGAAACACTGAACAAACATAAAAGGAGCTTTGACCAACTGACCTCAACATTATATGCATAAATCATAAATTACATACAGTAAAATATCCTGCCTTTTACGTCATTAATGGGGCTTGCGAAGCACGAGTCCCCACTTTAAATCTCTGACATACTTCTGACTTATTATAGTAAAAATAATAATAATAGAGTTTATGTCTAATTAGCATATTATAAAAATCTCATCAAAATTCATCAGTTTAAGATAGAGATTTCTGTTTTTTTTTGCATGGGCTGCGTTTCAATCTGCTGCATCCGACGATGTCGCCCTTCCGCATCTGCCAACTTCTGTCAGTAGTGTCTGAACCATTTGGGCTACACACCATCTTGACCCCTCTGTGGAAACGTGAGTCTTTCACAAACACGTACATGCCGGCTGTTGTGCTTTAGGACAACCACGCCCGCATAGACTCTAGAGGATTAATGGGGCTTTCGTAGCAAGAGTCCCCACTTTAAATCTTCAACATACTTCAAATCAAATCACATTTTATTGGTCTCATACACGTTTAGCAGATGTTATTGCAGGTGTAGCGAAATGCTTGTGTTTCTAGCTCCAACAGTGAAGTAATATCTAACAATTCACAACAATACACATAATACACACAATCTAAAGGTAAAAGAATGGAATTAATAAATATATAAACATTAGGACGAGCAATGTTGGAGTGGCATAGACTAAAATACAGTAGAATAGAATACAGAATACAATAGAATTCACCCCCCTTAGCATTTTCCTATTTTGTTGCCTTACAACCTGAAATTAAAATGGATTTTAGGGGGGTTTGTATCATTTGATTTACACAACATGCCTACCACTTTGAAGATGCAAAAATTGTTTTTATTGTGAAACAAACAAGAAATAAGACAAAAAAACAGAAAACTTGAGCGTGCATAACTTTTCACCCCCCCCCCCCCCCCCCCCCCCCCCCCCCCCCCAAAGTCAATACTTGTAGAGACACCTTTTGCAGCAATTACAGCTGCAAGTCTCTTGGGGTATGTCTCTATAAGCTTGGCACATCTAGCCACTGGGATTTTTGCCCATTCTTCAAGGCAAAACTGCTCCAGCTCCTTCAAGTTGGATGGGTTCTGCTGGTGTACAGCAATCTTTAAGTCATATCACAGATTCTCAATTGGATTGAGGTCTGGGCTTTGACTAGGCCATTCCAAGACATTTAAATGTCTCCCCTTAAACCACTAGAGTGTTGCTTTAGCAGTATTTTTAGGGTCATTGTCCTGCTGGAAGGTGAACCTCCGTCCCAGTCTCAAATCTCTGGAAGACTGAAACAGGTTTCCCTCAAGAATTTCCCTGTATTTAGCGCCATCCATCATTCCTTCAATTCTGACTAGTTTCCCAGTCCCTGCCGATGAAAAACATCCCCACAGGATGATGCTGCCACCACCATGCTTCACTGTGGGGATGGTGTTCTCGGGGTGATACGAGGTGTTGGGTTTGCGCCAGACATAGAGTTTTCCTTGATGGCCAAAAAGCTCCATTTTAGTCTCATCTGACCAGAGTACCTTCTTCCATATGTTTGGGGAGTCTCCCACATGCCTTTTGGCGAACACCAAACGTGTTTGCTTATTTTTTTCTTTCAGCAATGGCTTTTTTCTGGCCACTCTTCCATAAAGCCCAGCTCTGTGGAGTGTACGGCTTAAAGTGGTCCTATGGACAGATAGTCCAATCTCCGCTGTGGAGCTTTACAGCTCCTTCAGGGTTACCTTTGGTCTCTTTGTTGCCTCTCTGGATTAATGCCCTCCTTGCCTGGTCCGTGAGTTTTGGTGGGCGGCCCCCAATTTTGTTTGTGTCTTATTGGTCAAGGTCACGCCAAATACTTATCACCACATCTAGTTCAGCCTATCAGCAGCCTTGATTCCCGGGACTTCAGTTTCAGTTAGTCTATAACACCAGCACGCTGTGTCGCAGTGTTGCCAACTTAGCGACTTTATCGCTATATTTAGCGAGTATTCATACCCCTCTAGCGACACATTTTCAATTGACTATCGACAATTCTAGCGACTTTTTCTGGTGTTATTGGAGACTTTTGGAGAATCTGATGTGAAAGCACGTATCGTTCTTACTCTTCTCAACGAGCAGCGGGTGCTGCCGTGGGCCACACCCCCGTCCCAAAGCACTCACAGGCGGCCCAGTCCTCGCGCAGCAGTCCCTCCCAGCTGAAGTCAGAGCAGATGTTCACCCCTCCGCGTCCAGACTGCAAATGAATCACTCATGCGGGAAGCCGCAGCTTGCTGATCCCGCCCTGGCTTACATTCAGGGCGGGATGTAAATGTAAAATGTTCTTTGTCTAAAATAAATCACTGCACAAAAATAAATCACTGCATTTACTCACGTCGTCCACTGTGTGTGTGCCTCTCTGAGACATAAGCTAAACATCTAGCTGGCTAGCTCATCATGTCTCAGTCTAAACTGTACACTCAAAATTACAGAAAGGAGTGGGAATCAAACCCTGAATTCAAAGGCTGGTTGAAGCCGTTTATTGGAGATGATACAAGAGCATACTGCCTGTATTGTAAGGCTGATTTCTACGCCAAACGTATTGATGTAAAAAAACACATGACAACTCAAAAACATACTCAAAAGGCAAAGCCTTATAACAGTTCCACCCAAAACAAGCTGCCATTTATGGTTTAAAAAATTGACTCTGCACAAAAGGCTGAGACCACCATGGCATTAGCTATCGCTGAACACTGTTCCATGCTGGAATGTGATCACATTGGAGAAGCATGTTCAGCTGCTTTCTCAGACTCCACTGCTGCTACTCATCCTCGATGAGTCCACGGATGTAAGTGTTTCTAAGTACCTGGGGGTTGTGATAAGGTACTTTTTAGTGACACTAAGCAGACAATTGTATCAACATTTCTGGGGCTTGTTGAGTTGGAGGGAGGAGATGCCAAATCTATAGCCTGTGCTGTTGTGGCTTTCCTCGAGAAGTGTTGTCTTAAAAAAGAGAAACTCCTGGGGATATGGACTGACAATGCCTCTGATATGACGGGGATTAACAATGGGGTCCATCAAGTGCTGAAGGAGGAGTATGGCCTCAAAGATCTGGTTCTTATTCGCTGTGTGTGCCACTCTCTGCAGCTTGCTGTAAGTCATGCTTCCAATGACACCATCCCCCGTAGTGTGGGGTACTTGGTATGAGAGACTTATAACTGGTCTTCAGTGTCTCCAAAGCGCAGGGAGGCCTAAAAGGCCATATATGAGACCATCAACTGTGGGGAGAAACATTTACAGATAACCAAGGTGTGTGCCACACGTTGGCTCTCCATTGAACCTGCGGTTTCACACATTTTGGAGCTTAGGCTGCATTTCGCAGTCACCAAGTCCAGTGAACACTGCTACATGGCTGAGATGTTTATACTCCATGTACAGTGATCCTCAAAACATATTGTATCTGACTTTTTTGAAGTCAGTGCTGGGTGAGGTACAGTTGGCCATCAAGGCTTTTGTGGGAGAGCAAGTAGATCCTCTTAAGCTACTTGACAGCTTGGTTAGCCTGATCAAGTCTGTGAGCAGCAGGGTGCTGAATCCACTGGCAAATGTTGATGTACTCAAAGGGTCAATAGATGGATACATCAGTCCCAAACCGTACCTTGGTTACCTTTTGGAGTCAAAGGCAGCTGAGCTCCACCTTGCGCCTGAGGATGAAAACAATGTCCGAAAGCGGTGTAGCCTTCACCATCTCCCTCACTAATGAGTTGAGGGTGAGACTGCTGGACAACATCGAAGCATTGCAGTACATGTCAGTTTACAATGTGGATGAAACTCTAAAGCACAATAAGAGCCCTGGAGAAATAGAAAAAATAGCCAAGCTCCTTGGCTACTCTCCTGCAGAGATAGACTAAATTGTCCAGCAATGGTGTGCCATCCATCTTAGTAAATGGAATGAGACAAAAAACACACTGGGCTTCTGGAGTGAGATTTGGAAGTTCAGGGATGCAGCTGATATCAACCCGTTTCAAGAACTTGCCATGGCTGCTTTGTCTGTGTTGTCCTTTGCCACACTCGAATGCTGAAATCGAGAGAGTATTCAGCCAGATGAGTGTGGTAAAAAGCAAACTTAGAAATCGGATGTCCTTGCAGACCCTTAACTCCATCCTGTACATTCAATATGGACTAAAGCTGTCTGGTGAGGCTTGCTATGAGCACCAGCTGCCTGATAATGTTTTGCAGCTTTTTGGCACATCAGCAGCTTACTCATTTAAGTCAGCTCCCTCAGTTGCTGAACCTGCCATAAAGAGCCTTGACCAAAATGACGATGACCCACTTTTTCTGTGAGCCAGCACAGCCTGTGTGTGTGTGGAGGGGGGTCAAAAAAACATGTTTTAAATGTTATGGTTAAAAATGTTCATGTTTTATTGTGACTTGTTGTAGGATCCTAAGTGGACCATAAGGTTAAAAACCAAACCAAACTTTAAAAAAAAAAAAAAAAAAAAAAAAAGTAACTCTGTGAGAGTGTCTCTTTTGGGTCACTTTTGACGGTCCCAAGCCCGGATAAAGGAGGAGGGTTGGAATTGTGACATGAAAAAAAAACAAGAATCGACAGAAGAAAGTTCATTTGTAGTTCTAAACATATTTAGGGAGTTTTTTACTCACTTTGTGTCTCTCCCACAAGGTTATTCCTCTCTCCTACAGCATCCATCACAATTACATGCACATGGCCAATTCTGCAAATTAGGTGATGACGTCATTTAGCGACTTTTAGGACAGCCAATAGCTACTTTCCTTACTGAGGAGTTGGCAACACTGCCTGTGTGATCAGAAACGTGCTTTCCCCATCCTGATGAGCACTTCCACAGTTTACCCTCCTGCTGAACTTTTCCTCCTGTGGACTGAATCCCTGTATGTCTGATGTTTAA